AGGGGAAAGGTTGCCTACCCCTGCTCTAAGTGGTTTACAATCTGTAAGGCAGTTGTCTCCAACAAGCTGGGTACTCATTTTACCAACCTACAAAAGAATGGAAGGCTGAGTAAATCTTGGAGCCCTTGGGATCAAACTCACAATGTTGTGGCTGCAGTACCAGCATTTAACCATTGTGCCACCAGATTTACACTGAGGAGCTGCTCCTCCATTCCTGGGAAGTCTAGGCTAGTGGTTCTCTGACTCTGGTCCTCTAGATATTTTGGATTTCAACTTCTAGAGATCCCAGGTAGTGTGACCAATGCTCAGGAATTCAAGCGTTAAAGTCCCATATGCCTCAAATTATAGCAAAGCCATATTTATGTTGGGGAGGGTTAGGCTCCATCAGGGTGTTATGGGGTCTCAGCCCAAGTTCTTGATGCAAAATTAAAGGACTCAAACCCAGCTTCAGGGCTTCCACATGGATTTTATTTATAGATTCGGTCCCAATTTGTAAATTGGAATGTCACACCAAGTTTCCCATTGATGTGCCTTTTGCATGAAAACGAAAGAGAGTGGGTCTCTGGAGAGAAAAAAATCTAATAACTTTGCAGTGCAATATTTGTGGGCTGTAATCCAACAACTCATTTAAAACTCATGATGAAAATGTAACTGAAGAAGAGCAACTAAATCTGCCTGTGAAGAGTTCACTTTATTACTATATATAAAAAGGGATGAGAAAAATCCAAGAGCAAATTATTTGTCTAAGTCCTCTTTTCTTTTTTTTTGTTCTTTCAAAGTGAATTCAGTACTCTTGAAGGTCTTTTTTTTTCCCTGTGGAAGCTGCAGAGTTTTTGCCAAACTCAAAGATGAAATCCATGTGGATATCTTGAAAAAAAAGAAAGCAAATATTACCATTGAGTTTGGGACATGTGATGTGGTGAGATAGGTCACCTAAATCTTAGGCAGAGGAAGCAGTTGTTTTTATTTGGGTATTTTAATTAATTCAGGTAGAAGAAGAGGGGAAAGGAAGAAGTGAGGGTGCATTTGATAAGGTCAACTCCTTTTAAAAAAAATCAGTGTTACCCAAAGTAGTAAGTAACTACTTCTTTGGACGGCTGCTAGTTCACAAGCCAATAGCTGGTGGTCATGGGCAAGTTTCTAGGGGGAGGAGATACAATTGTAGTGAATGGGTACAACTATGGCACTGATCCCTGACAGACTAGAAGGGAAATTGCTGGGTCCTCACATGCGATAGCTTAAGCTGCCTTGTTCTAGGTTATGGATACAATACAATTGATGCACTTGACAACAGGTTGGATCCAGATTTATTCACATTTAAGAGTAAAATCATAGAGCTGGAAGAGATTGCAAGGGCCATCAGCTAAAGCATTCTGAGAGCTAGGCATCCAATCTCTGTGTAAAGTTGTCCAAAAGATGGCAGTGGAACCTTTTTTCCTGTAGTTTGAATCCATTGCTCCAAGTCCTATTCTCTGAAGCTGCAGAAAACAAACTGGCCCCATTTTCAGTATGACATCCCTTCAGATATTTAAACAGGGCTATCATGTCACCTCTTAACCTTCTCTTCTCCAGGCTAAACAACCCAGTTCCCTAAACTGCTCCTCATAGGGAATGGTGTACAGACTTTTCATTATTTTGGTTATCCTTATATTGACATCCTCCAGCTTGTCCACATCCTTGCACTGTGGTGCCCAGAAATGGACACAGTATTCCAGGTGAGGTCTGACCATTGCAGACACAATTCTCTCTCTCGATCTTGGCACTCTACAAAAAAAGGAGATTCTGATAACATTGAGGGTAAAAGCGGTTTGATACCAGAATAGATTATCTTGGAATGGGGTGGATTCTCCTTTGAAATGGAGTTTGGATGACTATCTCAGTATGTTACTTTAGATGTTGATTTATTGCATTGAAAGATGATTGAACTAGAAGTTCTTTGGAGTCCCTTCCAACTCTTATTCTTCTTAATTGCCACCAAGTCAACTTCAGCATATGACAACCTTATTACCCTATTATCAACAGCATGGTTAAGGTCTTGCAATTTCAGGGTTATGTATCCGCCTTAAAATTTTATGATTCTACATTTCCAAAGGATGGCGGTGATACCCTCCTCATCACCAACATTTTTTCTGTCCAGTGGTGGCTGGTGGCTGTGATGCTTAAAGTTTAAAACAGCTGGGGAAATCCAAGATATGCCCAAGATAAGAATTAGCACCTTGGATAGTTCCTTGAAAGTTTTGGGCAAATCCTGGAGCAGATTTACCATGCCAGTGGCATCAAAGCTGACCGTCTTTGTTGCTTTGTTCAAGTGCTGCCATAATTGAACAAAATTACAAATCCCAGGATCCCATAGCATTGAGCCATGACAATTAAAGCAGTGTCAAACTGCATTAATTTTGCAATGCAGATGCAGCTCAAGTTCTAAAACAATCCGTGGAAAGATGTTTGCTTAAGTTTTAAGATGACTGGAAAAAATGAACACACTGTGCAGGGTACAATATTTACTAATGTAAATTAACTATAAACTGCATTTCTACAGAAAATTATATCTTCAGTTTTACCACTTCCAAAAATGTTTTTTCTAGTCAAATCAGGGAGAAAAGCAACTTCTAGAGCTTTGATTAATAACATCAGTGAAGATTCTGTATTGGAAAATGCCAAGAGATTAAATTGCCCGAAGTCACCTGCTGTCCTCTATCTAATAGAGATCTGGGTAATCTTGCCTATATAAGATAATAGAATAATTGAGGCTTAGAGTTATTGGGATTGAGTGTAACAAATTATACTAATTCATGTAAAGACAAGACTGATGTGGGCGGAGTGCTAATTCTATCGGCCAGATACCTTGGCATTCACATCATTACAAGTGACCTCTTCAGTAAGGAACCCAACAGTGAGGAAAGGAAGATGTATTAAAAACTCAGCAAATTGCTCTGCATGAAAAGTAAGAAGAGAGGTGCAGAGAGACAGAGGTCATGATTTTTAGCAAACAAGCTTGCTGCCATATTATCTGCCCTACGTTTTCAGTAAGATGCACTCAAGCCAGTTTCTAGCCTGGCTTCCCAACCTACTTGCATCTGATGTTTTCGGTCCCTCCATGATCTTGCCTATTGATCAGTATACCCATATTTATGACCATCATTACTCCCATGTCAGTTGACATTATGTTGGTGACTTACAATGTAGTTAGCCCAACTTATACCATCATTTGCCACTGTCTGGTTATTATGATCAGAATTTTCTACTGACCTCTCACATTGATGAGAATCCTCCAAACCCAAACAACCACAGGAGCCTTCCCATGGCCATTTAGTGACTGGTGGAGAGCAAGGAGCATCAAAAGAAGTATTTTGTTATGTATCTATAGTTTGACACAGAACCACAGGACCACCACAGCTGAAAGGTGCTAAAAGCAGCTGAGAGATGGGTTTGGAGGTGTGTTAGAGGGGGAACATAGTATGCAGAATTTGTACATGATTCTCCATAATAGAGTATCTTGGTTGTTTTTCCCCATTGACATACCTTGAAGACACCAATGTTCAGAAACATGCTCTAACCATGTGTTAAATATGTTCTTTCAATTGATATCCCCTTATGCAGCGGCAGTTCTTGGGTTCCATGTCATTGGAGTGGCAAATCTGTGCCAGGTTTCAGATTGAATTCAGAGGCAATGTCCAAAGTGCTGAACTTACTTTGGAGAGAGGGTTCACTACTTTGGACAGTTCCTTTGAAGACTGGAGGAGATTTCCCACACAAGTGATATGAGTCAAATCTACACTACAGAAATAATGCCATTTGACCTTGCTTTAATTGCCTTGGCTCAGTGCTATGGGATACTGGGAGTTGTAGTTTTATGAGATATTTAACCTCCCGGTCTACAATATGTGAGCCGATTGCCCCTAGTATACTGGGTATTCATTTTACCAACCTATTAAGGCTTCTTCCAAGCCAGCATAGTGTAGTAGTTTGAACATTGGACTATGATTCCTCAAACCAGGGTTCAAATCTCTGCTCAGCCATGGAAACACACTGAGTGACCTTTAGCAAGCCACACTTTCAGCCTCATATGAAGCCAAAGGCAAAAGCAAACCCCCTCTGAACAAATCTTGTTAAGAGAACCCTGTGATAGAATTGCCTTAGGGTCACCATGAGTCAGAAACAACTTGAAGGGACACAAAACAACAACGGCAACACTTCTGCACCTCCATCATGTTTTTATAGTTTAGAGCAGACCTGTACAACTTGGCATTGGGTAGGGGCCAAAATTAAAATAGGCTAATCTTCTTTGGGCTGCAGATAAGTTTTAATTAAATTATTAATAATAATTAATAAAAAAATTATATTTTGGTGTCCTCCTCCTCTGCCTGCCTCTCTCCACAGGAGAAAGCCAAGGCTGGGCAACAGGAGAGGAAGAGGGGCAAACACTTTGCCCATCCTTCTCTTTCCTTGGGAGAAGGCCGAGCAATGGAGAAGCCTTGAGGGGCAAGTGTTTGCCCCTCTTCCTCCCCTGTTGCCCAACCTTCTCCTCAGGGAGAAAGCCAGGCAGTAGAGGAGCCTCACAGGGTGAGCATTTGCCCTTCCTCCTCTGCACGACCCTCTCCTCAGGAGAAGGCAGAGCAGAGGAGGAGTGTTGAAGATGTTCCACATCCTCATGGGCCACCCAAAATCATTTAGTGGCCGCATGCGGCCCCCGGGCCATATGTTGTTCAGGCCTGGTTTAGAGAAAGGCTCCTCATAGACACTTAGGTTGCAAGAAGGCCCACAGTGCATCATTTTTGTGCTCTTTCCTCCAGCCTGCTCTTCAGGAAACATACTCAGAGAGTTGAAGAGTGGAGAACTTCACTGCTCATGACTAAACTCATATCTAGGAAATATAACTTTTTTTCAGGCTTCACTTCCCAGAATTTCCAATGAGCACTAGCCACAGTACCTGGAGAGTTAGGGATGTGTAGTCTATAAAAATAATTTGTCAAGGCTCTGACTAGGCTTTAAGAACACAAGGAGAACCAAGTTGGATCAAAGGCCTATCTAGTCCAATTCAGAGGCATACCCATGTTAGTCTGGAATGTCAACATGCAAATGGATCTTGTAGCACCTTTAGACTAACAGCACAAAAGACACTGTAGTTTTCATAGACATAAGTCTACTTCCTCAGATGCATGGAGTGAATTGGTGCCCAGGAAGGACCTCACGTTATATGAATAGCCATAGAAATGCAAAACTTGTGGGTGTGATGAGGAGGTGACCAGTTAAGTTCTACTATGGTCATTGAGAGGCAAATGCAGAAGGAAACATGTTGCCTGAGGCCAGGGTGAGGGAATGACCATCTGACTCATGGAGGGAGTTTTGGATGTGATGTGTATAGGTTGGGAACTGGAAGGAGAGATGATAAACTGCTAAGAGAGTCCTCATGAGGCTGGGGTGCTGACCAGTGTTATAATATGTGTGATATGCCCGGAAGCCATTGTCTCTCTTCAACCCATGGTTGAATATCTATCTAGTCCAAAATTCTGTCAGCACAATGATCAGTAAGTTGCCTATGGGAAGCTCAAAAGCATGACATGAATGTGACTGGATGTAACTGGGTGATATCTGACAACTGATCTACAGATAAGCATACTACCTCTGATACTGGAGGAGATATATAGCCATCCTGACTAGTAGCCATTGTGGTACCACCACCATGACTTCATCCAGTCCCCTTCCAAAGCCATCCAGTTTGGAAAACATCTCTAAATCTTGTGGGAGTGAGTTCCACAATTCAGCTATGCATTACACAAAGAAATCCTTCCTTTGATTTTTCCAGAAACTCCCACTGTTTCATTTCAGTGGATGATCCAGGGTTCCAGTGTTACAAGAAAGAGAGACAAGCTTCTCTCCATCTACTTTCTCCAGATCATTCAGAAATCTACACACCTCTCCCTATTTCCTTTTGCTAGCAACCCACATTTTTACTTTGGATGTTGTATTGTTTGTGCAAAATACACTATTTCCTGCGCATATATACACTGTTTCCTGTGCACTTTTCTGTGCAAACTCTACATTTTTTTTTATAGAAAAGGCATGTGTATTTTTTACAAATGAAAGTTCCTGACAAATGTCTGAAAGTGTGAATGATCTCGCCTCTAACTTACTTATTTTTCTGGAGTGCTAAGGCACCTTTTCTTAATCATGGATGAGAAATGAAGGGATATTCTTTACCTCCCTATTTGTACACAGCCATGACAATTTACTTTGCAAGCTTCTGGGAGGATGACAGGCCCTGTGTGCTATTGCTGCTGAAACCCCAGAGAAAAAAGGCAGAAAGAGAGCCAAATGGGGACTGAGCAAAGAAAGGGGGAACTACAAAGTGAGATATAGAGAAGCACAGAGGGATGAGAACATGTTATGAGGCTCAAGGGGAAAGGAAGGGAGTTCAGAGACATGTAGGGAAATATAGTTATAACTGGGAGATGCAGAGAAATCTGTAAAGTAAGGAAAGAGAAAAAGGGGATCACAGAAGGTATACAGAAAGAACTACAGTGATGCAGAAAGAAGAAGAATACTCCAGAAGTACTTAACATTGAGCCATGGCAGTTACAGCCATGCCAAACTGTATTATTTCTGCAGTGCTAATATGGGGAAGGGTGAACTGTTTGAACTGTTGTGCTGTCTATCCACACACACCCCAAATAAAACTGTGGCCTAAGGGCTTTGGGAGCCACAGAACAGGGGACCCAGGTCTGTGAGCTACATTTTTCAAACCCTTTCTGTAAGACAAGGAAGAGAGGAGATAAAGGGAGAAATGGGAGAAGACAGGGAATCAGCCATGCAGGAACAGAATCTAGAATCATAGGGTTGGAAAAGACCTCAAGAGTCATCCATTCCACCCCCCTGCCATGCAGGAATATACAATCAAAGCACCCCCAACAGATGGCCATCTAGCCTCTGTTTAAAAACCTCCAAAGAAGAAGAAGAATAGAAAAATAGGCAGCAGCTGGAGACCATTGAGGCCCATTATGGCACAGAGGTGCTAAAAGATGGCAGAGGTAGGAATACAGGATGAACATAGGAAGCTGCCTTATACTGAGCCAGCTAGTACTGAGTCACTAGTCCATCTAGGCTAGTATTGTCCACTCTGACTGGTAGAAGTGGCTGTCAGGGTTTCTAGCTGGCTTGTTTGCTATCCTTCCCTTGATGAAGTCCCTTCCTGAACTCCCTTGGTGGTTGTCTGCTTTCCAAATATTCACCAGGTCCAACCTCACCTAGCTTCTCAAGTCAGACAAGAGAAAATCTTCTCAGAGCAGTATAGAGGCTGCTGGAAATGTGCAAGTGGTGGATTCCATATTGTAGCTATTACACGAGGAACATAGGAGTCTGCTTTACACTGAATAATTTCATTGGCCCATCTAGGCCAGCATTGTCAATTCTGACCTCCAGCTTTTTTAGTAAAGAACTTCAAGCAGGATTCTTTCCTAGCCCTACAGTTCGATCCCAGGTGTTCCTTGATGGTCATCCCTCTGAGGGTGCAGCTATACCATAGAAATAATGCAGTTTGACACAACTTTAAATGCTGTAGCTCCCTCCTATAGAATCCTAGGATTTGTAGCTTTACAAGGTCATTAGCCTTCTATGCCAAAGAGTGCTGGGGTCTCAGCAAACTACAAATCCCAGGATTCTGTCAGTTGGAGCACCTCAATAGTGGCATCAAAATGCATTATTTCTTCAGTATAGATGCACCCTCTGATGGATGACCATAAGGGAACACCTGGAGTAGGGCTAGGAAAGAATCCTGCTTGAAATCCTTGAGTAAAACAGTTGCCTGCTTCTTACCAGGTTCAGCAGCTTCCAAAATAAGGTGAGATTGGTGTGATGGTATTTGCAGGTGGTCTCCCATCCAGGTATAAACTGGGCTTGGTTCTGCTCAGATTCTGAGATCAGGTAAGGTAGGGTGTATTCACAAGAGTATGGCCATAGACTAAGGACCTATTGATGGAAAGAGAGAGCATCTCCTCTTCTTTATCCCATCGGAAAGAGCTCTCAGAGGTTGGCTAGCCATGTGTGCTGAGAAAGAAGCTGAAATAGACTCCATTTACTTCTCTTGGCCCTCCCACGCGCTCCCAGGTGGAAAATTGCCGACAAGGTTTAGAGGGGAAGATAAGGCGACGCGAGAGGGAGGACTGCAGGAAACAGGCTTAAGCCTGCCGCCTCCTCGCCTCCCTGCCTGCCTCTTCCATTCAGTGTGTCAATCTGCGAGGCGAGGCATAACATCTCAGACATGAAGGAGTTTAGGAGACAACCCCCCTTGTGTTTTTCACCCATCATCTCATGGATTCTTTACACCCCCAAAGGGATTTGCAGCCCTTTCTTGTCATCCTCCCATCCCTGCCTTGAGTGTGCAACCTGTCTTCCGAGACGTACTGGGGCCTCCCGCCCGTCTCTAAGCCCTGTCAAACAGTGACAGCATCATGTACTACCAGCATCCGTGATAGGAGTCTGAGCTCCTAAGTATCTTACCGTTTCTGCACACCAATGAGGTTCTCATTGTAATAAGGGGCTGGTGGAGCCCTTTGTGTAATTGGCATGCAAACTCTCTTCCACCGCTCACCATTCGTGAACTGGGTTGAGAGTGACAGAATTCATTATGCAACTGAAACAAGCGGATGGGCCATTCAAGAACAAGAGACTGGGAGCATGAAGATAGTGGGACAGAAGTTTAAAAATGTCAATCCCCCCACCCCACCCC